AGTCTCAAATTATGTAGATTTGCTATATGGGTCTTTTGGTTTTCATATGCATTCCATTGAAATAATAATAAAAATTTAGAAGAAAATAATATAGTATGACATATATATGTACATATAAAATATACTCGAAACCTTTAAAGAGTACGATAAATTTCCTTTAAAATAACGATGCAATCGAGGATATATACGAGCAAACATGAAAGTTTTCCATATTTTTAAACGTCCAAATACACATTTTGTCTGCGATGTTGAAAATCATTCGATAGCGAATAATATTTGGCTGTCAGCAGGGTCGGATTTTCCCAGAGGCTAACTAGGCTAGAGCCTAGGGCCTCAAGATCAAAAGGGGCCTATATTCAAATCGTTAGCAAAATTAGAAAACGCTATTCTAAAAACTGTAAAAATTAAAATACTGCATCAAAAATAAGGAGAAATTCTACACATATGAATAATAAACAAACATAATAAGTAATTTACAAACTTAAAAATGGGAGGTGAAAGGGCCTCATAATTGGAATAGCCTAGGGCCTCTTTTCCTCTAAGTCCGGCCCTGGCTGTCAGTTTACATAATAGAAGAAAAAAAAGGCTTGATATTTGTTGACTGCTTCGTATTTGTGAGAGCAATGTCTAAATAAAGCCTCAAAAGTTATTGATCACTTAAGGCCTTTTTTTTTTTTTTTTTTTTTTTTTTTTTTTTTTTTTATGAAAATGCTTGCTGAAGACAAGGTCGTAGACCAAAAAACAACACAAAATTAGAATAATTAACGACTGGAGACATAGAATATGAATACCATTCTTCTTGAGAGAAATCAAACATGACTACTATTCTTCCTCAACAATAGCTTTGTTCGGCTAATAGCACTACATTTTTCGATACAAACTATTTTAAACCGACTTCATGCTGTTTTTATATAATTGTGTTATATATTAATATAACATATGCTGCATGTTTACTCACGTATAAATTCTATTACAACGCTATTTTAAAGGTAAGCTTTAAAGGTTTTGAGCAATGTACATATGTACACAGTCCAGTCACATTAATGTGACCACCACCAACTTTCGACGTCAACGTGAAATAACCACTCACAAAAGGCAGGTGGCAGCCCATTGCAGTGGAGTGCATATAAAGAATACCACTTAAATACCACACTCCACTTAAAGCCAGAATATAGAAGAGTGTATTTTCTGGCTTTTGACAGGTGGTCACATTAATGTGACTGGAATGTGTGTGTGTGTATATATATATGGCTTCCTACATTGCATTCATTTATATGCTTACAGACCTATGATATATGTTTCATTAGCAGCACGACAACAGGATGCAAGTAGAAAGTGGTCAGGAAAAAAATGTCAATAAAAAGAGAAATGAGTGAAGCAATTTTCTCTTAGAGAAATCCCCTTTCACATCCAATCTTTATGCATATATTTGGAAGGAACGGGAGATTCAAAAAAGTTTCCACATCTGTACAAGAAAGTGTCAGATTTGGAGGAGGTGGGTTGACAGTCTAGGTCGTATCTTCATGAGCAGCCGAATCAATCTGCATATCATTAGAAATAAATCTGATGGCTCAAAGATACAAGCAAGCTGTACTTAGACATAACTTACTCAATGAATGATTTAAAAATTGACGTTTTTAGATTTTATGGTTGCTGATGTCTTCATTATCCAATTTCTGTTCAATAAAGGAAAAGTAATAGTAATTTACAAACTCGTAATTCATAGACCATTTCCAAAATATATACAAGGTTTTAAATTATCCCCCCCAACAAAGAAAATCTTAAACCTCCAAAAGAAACTTCTTGAGGAACGCTCAAACAAATTCACCCCAAAAGCCCATGTTCCTCCAAATCATTAGCAACTGCTATTGATTGAAAAAAAAAAAAAAAAAAAAAATGTTGCTAAAAGGAAAGCGTTGCCACCTTGAATGTTTGCTTTCAATTATCTTGATTAATAAAACTTCATTTGGTAATCAGAATTAATGAGAACTGTGAATAAGACTGGTGAAAACCCTGTGTAAACTAAGAGACAAAGGAACTGGCAACTGGCGTACCGTTTACGTAGTACCAAAAGGGGGAAATACCCCTTAAACCTCCTCATCTTAATTCATAGATATGTTTAGAGTTCTAATTGGCTGCTTAATTATTGTTAGTAAATTAAAGATAAAAGTTTCTAAAAATTCAAATTAAAGTGGTACTCAAAAAAAAAAAAAAAAAAAAAAGATTTAAAAATACTATTGATAAAAAGTAAGATACAAAATAAAAGAAGTTAAAAGTTAAGTTTTAAATTCGGTACAATTAGGGTCCAGCTGTCGATGCCCTAAACATATTGAAAAACGTAAACAAACTTTTTTTTGTTTACCAACACACTAGGGATTATGCTGAACGGTGGGAGCCAATGGGTGAATCTGAAAGGTAAAAATTTAAACAGTGTCTTCACAAAGGGGAAAAAAAAAAAAAAAAAAAAAAAAAAAAAAAAAAAAAAGGGGGCCGATCTCAGAACCAGAATTCTTTTTATAATTTTTATTTGGTTTTGACAAAGGAATGGAAAGGAGTATAGCAAATAGATTTTCTGCCCTTTTTTTTTGCAAATTATTTACTCTGGAATAAGATGCGTGTCACAGTTTCCGAGTTATCATTAAAAAGGAAATAAATTGAATAGAATGATATTGATTCTGAATCTGGAAATAAATTCTTCAGTCATAATCATTTGGCCAGCATATTATACCGCAACAACGGCCTGATGTCCAATTGGCTAGCGTTCTGACCTTTGGTACCACAAGCTACAGATTCGAATCTTGGCGGTGGCATGGATGTTTGTTAATGGTTCGGAATCCACTTTAAATTGTAGGTTCCGGTCAAATTAGCCTAAAATATGCACAAAATGACCGTAGAGCGACAATCAAAACCAATTTTGATTTAAAATTCCCGGAGTTTATGGAATTTCAACTTTTTTTCTTTTTTAGGTTGCTGGCACTGTCCTTGACATCTGTGTGAAATTTGACGTCAAAATATTCATTAGTGTTAGAGTTACGCTTGGCTTTGTGAGACGCTAATAACTAATTTCGGCGATTTTTGAAATGTCTGAATTAATTGAGCGAAGAACTGGAATTAAATTTTGTTTGCGGAAACGTATAGAATGTTGCAGAAGGGATTCGGTGAGCATTCTTATATCGGAAAGAAATGTTTAGAAGTTGTATAAGCAGTTCAAAGAAGGTACAGAATGCGTTGAAGACGAAGAGCCCTCTGGTAGACCATCAACTTTAACCGATGAAGCTCATGTCCAAAAAAATTAAAGATTTGGTGCTTGCAAAGCATCGATTTACAATCAGAGACATTGTTGGTGTTGTTGGAATTTCAAAAGGATCGGTCAATTCCATTTTGGGCCTCTAACGCGTCAAATCTCGATTAGTACCGAAAACACTGAATGCGCCAGCTCGCACTGCATTGATTCTTCGTTACTTTTTCGCCAAAAATGAAACCCTTATTATTCCACAACCACCATATTCACACCGTGCGACTTCTGGTTATTCTCTAAACTCGAAAGACCACTCCTTGGATACCGTTTTGAGTCGATTGAAGGGATTCAACGTGAATTGCCGCGCGGTTTGAAGGCCATCCCTGCCGATGACTTTTTAGCATGCATTGAGGATTGGAAAAAAAGTTGGCATAAGTGCATTGTGTCCGGCGGGGATTATTTTGATGGCGCTGAACTAAATTTGGAAAAATAAATAAATAGTTTTTGAAAAAAAAAAAAAAAAAAAAAGAATTGGTCTTACTTTTTGGGCACAGTAGTAAACCATCAAAATTATTCTTTATCCGCAATTTCTATCCAGACCAAATAAAAAAACGCAATTAGTATGCATTATATGGAATGGAAGTGACTTCACAGAAAAAACGCGCAACCGGAAGTGACATAGATAAGAGGCTATCTTGGTAAAAGGGGGTGCTTCCTCTGAAATTTTTTTTTCTTGGTGGCACCATCAGAATGTTTGTACGATATGACGTGGTTTTTTTGGTGAGATATGATTTTTTTAATTGGATTATTTTACAAAATTGATTGAATTTATTTTTTATTTTCTATTTACCTATTTATTTTGTTATAATAACTAATTTCGCAAAGATTTTTGTTTTTTATCCCAATTGTAAATATAAAATTTATTTCTTTTACAGATAATTATTTCGGCAAAAGATTTCTATGCATTTTAATGTGATTCTTTAAATCAATTTCATTCTGTCGAAATGTTTTTGCCTACATTTATTAACAATACATTCTACGAATTTAAAAAGTACACCCCAAATTGGGGTGGCTGTAATGATAAGACAATGTCTGGAGGATTCAAACTCTAATTCCTGATAACATTATTCATGCCGGGAATGCTCGATAAGGAATGATAACCCGGACTATATCCTTCTATTCAGTTCAATGCTTATCAGTTTCCTATAAGATTTTTCTAGTGAGAAAATTACTTGAGACAAGCCATGTGAATTTGTAACTAAGGAAGTGGTTGGAATGCACGTGCGAATTGTGATTGGTTCTAAGAGGGAGAGAGGGATTAGAATGCTTATCAACTGTTACGTGTTGAAAAGGATGGCTCGATTTGTTTGCTATTACCTCTGGCATTGTATAAAACAGCACCGTTTTATCTAACATTGTTCATTCCACAGATAGCAAATAAAAATTAGCGTAGATAAAACGGAAGTTGTGTTTGTTGTTGTTTTGTTGTTCCTTATCCCACTTGGCTGGCCAAGCCCACGAGCCCATACGTACTCATGATTGAAGGGGAAGGAAGCAGCTTCTGTTGTGATAGAGCACCCGTAGGTAGAAGCCTGACTTTTGCTCCGTGACGCTCTTACAGTCATAGGAGACCGGGACCTACGGCTTAAAGTGGATTCCGAACCACTACAAACATCCATGGCACCGCGGGATTCGAACCCGAAACCTGTGGCACCGAGCGCCAGAGCGCTAGACACTCGGCCATTCAGGTCCCAAATTTGCCAACGGCACGCGGTGTTCCCAGGTGGTCACCCACCCAATGATGCTTGACTTCGGTGATCTAACGAGAACCGGTATATTCAACGTGGTATGGCCGTTGGCTGTTGTACTCTTCACGAGGAGAAAAAAATCGCCCCCCTGTTATTTCTCTTCTTAATCAACCTATTAATTGTACTGAAAATGCTAAATATCTGGGCCAGGGCCGGATTTAGATGAAAAGAGGCCCTGGCTAGGCTATTCCACATATGAGGCCCCCTCCCATTTTTAAGCTTGTAAATTACTTATTATGTTTGTTTATTATTCATGTGTGTAGAATTTCTCCTTATTTTTGGTTCAGTGTTTTAGTGTTTACTGTTTTTAGAAAAGTGTAGTTCTAATTTTGCTAACAATTTGAATGTAGGCCCCTCTGGATCTTGAGGGCCTAAGCTGAAGCCTAGTTAGCCTATAGGAAAATTCGGCCCTGATCTGGGTGTCTTTCTTGATAGTAAATTAATCACATTAAACTACTAGAATATCTGTCTCCTTTGTCCTTTTATCAACAGGTGCTCTTTTCTTTCGCTTGATAATAAACTAATCATTTACATGCACTTTATGCTTCCAGTTATCACTTATGCTATCCCAGATTGAGGTTCTGCTGTAAGGTACAGCATTAATTACATTAAATATTCAGAAAACGAGAATGATCAATGATTCTCCGTGGTACTTTAGACTGGCAGCTGGCGTACCGATTGCGGAGTACCAATGGCGGGAAATACCCCTTAACCTCCTCATCTTAATTCATAAATATGATTACAATTTTAAATGGCTGCTTTATTGTTAGTATACAAAAAATTACATGATAAAGTTTCTAAATTAAATAAATGGTACTCAAAAAAGTTTAAAAAAAAATAAAAATATATAGAAGTAAAATACAAAATTAAAGTTAAAATTAAAAAATAAAAGAATTTAAGTTAAGTTTAAATTCGGTACAATTAGGGACCAGTTCTCGATGCAACAAAATGTTGAAAAAAGTAAACAAAACTGTGAAAGGGTTATGCTGAACGGTGGGTGCCATGGTGTTGGGGATGATATGAAAAGCAACATAGTTAAAAATCTCAAAAAAAAAAAAAAAAAAAAAAAAAAAAAAAAAAAAAAAAAAGGCCGATATCAGAACCGATGTTCTTTTTATTTTTTATTTTTTTTATTTTAATTTTTTTTATTTTTCATTCAATCCTTTTTCAATTCCTACTATTAGTTCACACTCTCCCTATATATATCTTGTTCAAATTTTCAATCGTTCATAAAATACTTTTTATTCATCCACTCAAGTTCAAATGTATATATAATTTTTTTGAATTTGTAGTGGATGACACTTGATATTAATACAGTGTTTTCAATTATTAATTCATTAATTAAGTTTTTAATTAATTAATTTTAGTTTTTTTTTTAATTTAAGTTGCCTATATCTACCAATAGATGGCTCCAGATAAACTTAAAAAAATGAATACAAATTATTTATAAAGGACTTTCTGCAATACAGTGAAGAAAAAAGTAGGAATTGACTTGAAAAAAAGTTTTTTTTTATATTACTTGTTTTTTCCTAACAAAAGAAAAAGGGGTAAGCTGGTACTTTAGAAAAATGATGATTTTCGTCACTCTTTAGCTCCCTAGTATACAAATTGTTATGCTTAAACTTGCTGAAAAATTTTACAGCAATCTCGTTCACATTTCGAATGACAAAATTCGAAATCTTACGAAATACGATTTCACGAACTCAGTCGAGCAGTTATGTACAATTTGTGACTCTATACCAGGGATAGGTAAACTTTTTCGGTCGCGAGACAAAAATCTTTAAAAAAAAAAAAAAAAAATTTTTGGCGGGCCAAGATAGATTTTTTTAAAATTTTAGAAACAATATACAAGTATTATAATTTCAATATGTTAATGAGATGAATGAAATTGCTATTTCATTTTTAAAAGTTCCTTATATTGAGTTTCGAAATGAGATGTACTGATTCTAAGGAACGAGGCTAATGCTCATCTGTCAGTCTACTTCTGAAACAATTCTTTCTAAGGTTCATAGTTGAAAACTCTTGCTCACATATATAAGATGAAGCAAACATAGCACTGGATTTCTGGGCATGGGATATTAAATTTGGGAAACTTACTTTCGATAATGATTTGTAAAACTCTAACTTTGGCATATTTAGAAACAATTGCTTGAGATGATTGTTAGTTTGCAACTCAATTAATTCAACCTGCCAATCTGACCTCACTGCTTCACAATTTATTTTGAAAGGCATGGTAAAAATGTCCAATTCTGTTTGAATGGTACTGAAATCTGCGTTCGAACTCAAAATATAGTTTTTTCAAGCCATCTTTATAATTCTTAAGCTTCTATTCCTTTATTGAGGGTTTGAATTTAAATCAATAAAAAATAAAATTTAAATTCTATACGCGGGATGGATAGAACCTTCCGGCGGGCCTGAGTTGGCCAGCGGACTGTAGTTTGCCTATCCCTGCTCTATACCTTAGCTGTTTTTTCCCCTACATTTTATTTTATTACCTTTTATATATTTTATGCCAAATATATATATATATATCATTTCTTTAATCTATTATTTTTACTTTTAATATTTTCTTAATTTTTATTACATAATTTAAATATTCTTATAATTCCGTTTTTCATAATTATTTTAATTTACGTTTATTTTGGGACTGTTGCATTTTTTTACTTCACCTGTATTGTTATTTCATTGTTTACCTCATGTCATCTTAATTCATCCTTTTTACTTGCCATGGACACTACCTCTAAAAATAAGCGTTACAACGATATATGCTGCAAAGACTGGCCTTATTCATTCTTTTTACGAATAGGGCTTTGCAAGTGTACAATGACAAAAAAAAAAAAAAAAAAAAAGTCTTGTAAGGGAAAAGTATTTTTCAGAATAAAGTAATTTGCAGGATTCACCTTACCGAGAGAGAGTAGCCATATATTCCCTATCAGATTTTTGACCTAGGAGGTGGTCGTAAATAAGTTTTTAAAACAAACTCGTGTTCGTATTGGAGTATGAACTCGTGTTCTCTATGGATGAAAATGGAAAGCTACAACCAACAAAAGCAGTGGTTTCATAGAAACCCGATATATAGTATAGCCTTTTTCCCACGAGAAGAGATATAGCATTTCTGTTCCTCCAGGAGAAATGAATGTATATTCTTTAACAAGTGCATAAGAACAACATATCACTCAAATCTGACAGCAGATAGACCGTGCCTTGGATAATTATACTACATGCAATTAGTGTTTTGTTATAATGAGAACAAACTGCCTCTCAAATCTGACAGCAGATAATCAGGATGGTGATACATCATGAAATTAGAGATTGTCTGTTAGACCTTCCTAGGTAGAAACAATTACAGATGGGATATGGACGACGTCATGAGTTGCTGCATCGGGAATAGGGATAGACTATTGGGTGAAGAAGTGTCCACTCCAAGGAGAAGTAGTTCTCTGTAAAAGACAATACCTCATCTTATCGGAGTATCCGACTATGTGAAAAAGAAACTTCTGATATATACCTTTACAGAATATGTGATCTACGAACTAAATAATGGCTATATTATTTATCCTCAAACTTGTTATAATGTAAATGAATCGAATAATAGCTTCGGATTTGATCTGGGGGATGGTAAATTAAATACAAGAAATTTATAGCCAGGATCATATGAAATAATACCTGATATTTTGAAAGCTATGGCTCTACCCTCTTATGAAGGTAAAATAAATTTTAAATTCAACCCTCATACTAAGCATGTAAAAATAAAAACTTCAGACGTGGCTAAAATTATGCTTGGAAATACGCAGTGAATTAGGTTTTCCGCCTCAAGTGATAGAAAATGAAAAAGAAATTTCTTTTACGGCAGATCCTCATGTCGAATTTCTGATATTTTATATTTATAAGGGGCCTGAGGGCCGAGTGACTGGCGCCTGGTACCCCACGTTTCAGGTTCGAGTGGGGGCGGTGCCATGGATTTTGTAGTGGTTAGGAATCATCTTTAAACCGTAGGTCCTGATCTAATATGACTGTTGGGCGTAGTGCTGACAATCCTATCCCGTAAAAAAGAAAATGTCTCCTGTCTGGAAATCTGCTAATAGGCTGACGACCCTGGTCCATCATGGGGCCAAATTGTACCTACGGTTGGTTACCATGGTGGGACAACAGTGGTTCACAATGGGGTCCACCGTTGTGCCAATGATGATGATGATAATTATGTTTATAGTGATATCGTTCAGAATGTAGTGGTAGGGCACCTGAAAGTACATTATGTGTGTTGCAGCAAAAAATTTGAAGGACAATATATTCGCTGCTTATAATCAATCTGGTTCAGGAATTCCACATTACGAAGGCATTTCATTTCAAAGGGGATATGGCTTAAGAGGGGTGTTTCGTCGTTTGTTTCGAGCAGGATTACCATTTTGGGAAAAAGGTGGAAAAGCCATTGGAAAAGATGCACTGGAACATAAATAGTCGAATAAATTTTATTTGGAAAAACTTAAAAACTGCAGTAAAGATAAAGTAAAGATGCTGGTAAAGGTTTGTTACATAAGGCTATCAACTATGTACAGTCCATGATGGAAAAGTGAATATATAAAAGGAAGAGAGAAAAACAGGAAATGAGTAATTTCTTCTAAAATCTGATATTTCCTATTAGTAAAAATTACATGCAACCATGCTTCCTCATACACACTGGCGAGATCTCCTTCCTTTGGTGTTCAGGAGAAATGGTCAGTCGGTCGAGAGGTTTCATAGTCTCTCATTCCGAGAGGAAATATATTTAGCGCCCTTCGGATACTTGACGCACAAGTTGGAGAACTCATAGCTTTATTTACACACGCACAAGCGCTACACATTTACAATTAGAAACTACAGAGAATATTAGATTATTAAAAATAAATAACATGAAATCCTACAGATTGGCACATCCTACAGATTCTCACCAGGAGAGAAAGTATATTTCGCTCATCATGCACGTAGCTGAGTATCAGTTTTTTCGACTTAGAAGTGGAATCCTTCTCCGAATCTATAATTATATATCCTTAAATGTGTTAAACATTTCT